GGGCTCACGTGGCCTGGCACGGCCTCAGGGCAGCAGCGGCGCGAGCAGCGGATCATGAAGCCCTTCCGTTGCGTCTTGTAGTCGCACAGCAGCTTGCACCCTTGGACCCTCCCGAAGCAGCGCTCACAAAGGTCGTACCCAGTCCCCCAATCCTCATCGAGGACGAGCCTGGTAAAGCGCTTTCCCACTGCGTTGCAAGCCGGTTTCTCCGCCAGCAAGCCCTCTCCGGGTTTGTGGATCCTTCCGTACCCCGTGGAGAGCTGGATGAAGTGTGGGCAGAAGTCGATGTCACCTTGTTCCGGATCGATGTATGAGTCGTCAGAGTCGTCACCTGAGCTCGGGGAGCTAAGGTCTGAGAGTGCAGCATCTGAGAACTCCTGCGCTCCTTCTCTGACAAGCTCTACCTCTTGGCTCACCAGGCTTCGCAGACCTTCTTCATCTCCTTCTCCTGCTCCACGAAGTTCAGCTCGCACATCCAAGGTCGCCGGCGCACGCTGGAGCTGCAATTCCGGATTCCCAGTGTCTGGGTTCTCGGTGCAGATCACGGCACGCTCCATGGCTCCTAAATTACACCACCGTAGACCCCAAACAGTTTGTGTTTTTCAAAATCGAAACTAGAGCTTGCGACGTCCAGAGCTGGGAGATAAATGTAAAGGATTGCAAGGCAGAGACGGACACAGCAGTACAGAGCGGGGGGACACATCTTAAGAAAGAAGTGAGAAGCCCTAACAGTAAACCTTTTGGGGAATTATTCTTCAAGCGCGAACATGATGCTGGTCATGCTGCTCAGTCAGCGGGGAGCTGACCACGTGAGGACAAGAAACAAAAGCATGAGGAGCGAAGGATGTGACATGAAATTGATTTTTGGTGCCTGACATATGCCCTCCGCCCCAACTGAATAGAGAGATCGCTGCCACGCCGCCGAAATCCAATCCGGTCATTCATCCAACGGTTGCCCGAGAAGGAAAACAAAGCTGAGAGAGTTACACAGTGTGGCAGGAATGCAATCCCGGAGACAGTCACGCACCCCTTGCAAAGGAGCAAGAACCTTTCACAGGCGAACCTGTTCCAGCGGACAGGGCAGAAAACAGCAGTGCAGGCACCAAACCTGAAAGACAAAAAGAAAGAAGTCACATGGGAGACAAATGAATAGAAATGCTACATGGCCAGCGGAAAAGGGCGGCACCACCAGTGACAGACCCGGGAAACAAATTAATAGAAATGCTGCATGCCCAGCGGAAAAGGGCGGATACCAACAGTGACAGACCTGGGAGACTAATGAATAGAAATGCTGCATGGCCGACGAAAAGGGCGGACACCAGCAGTGACAGACCTGGGAGACAAAACACTGGCAGTGACAGACCTGGGAGACAAATGAATAGAAATGCTACATGGCCAACGGAAAAGGGCGGACACCTACAGTGACAGACCTGGGAGACAAATGAATAGAAACAGCGGAAAAGGGCGGACACCACCAGTGACAAGCCTGGGGGACAAATGAATAGAAATGCTGCATGGCCAGCGGAAAAGGGCGGAAATTAGCAGTGACAAAGACAAATGAATAGAAATGCTACATGGCATGACGCACCTGGGAGACAAATGAAGCATTTCTGGGAGATAAATGAAAAGAACCGGGAGACAAATGAAAGCAAGTGGGAGACAAGCGGGCCGGGAACCCGACCACAAGCACCCAGCCTGGGAGACAAATGAAAAGAAGTGGGTGACAAATGAAAAGAAGTGGGAGACAAATAAGAGGAAGTGGGAGACAAGCCGGCCGGGAACCCGACCACAAGCAGAAAAGAAGTGGGAGACAAATGAAAGGAAGTGGGAGACAAGCTGGCCGGAAACCCGACCACAAGCACCCAGCCTACCGAGCCTGGGAGGCAAATGAAAGGAAGTGGGAGACAAGCCAGCCAGGAACCCGACCACAAGCACCCAGCCTGGGAGACAAATGAAAAGAAGTGGGAAACAAATGAAAGAAAGTGGGAGACAAGCCGGCCCGGAACCCGACCACAAGCGCCCAGCCTGGGAGACAATGAAAAGAAGTGGGAGACAAATGAAAGGAAGTGGCCTGGGAGACAAATGAAAAGAATTGGGAGGCAAATGAAAGGAAGTGGGAGACAAGCCAGCCGGGAACCCCGACTGAAAAGAACTGGGAGACAAAGGAAGTGGGAGACAAGCCGGCTGGGAACCCGACCAGACCATCCAGCACCAAGGCGACCATTCTTTAAAGCATTGAGAACCCCTAACAGTAAACTGTTTGGGGAATGAAAAGAAGTGGGAGACAAATGAAAAG